TTGACGGTTCCTTCCCATTTTTGATGGTTTTCATCCATTTTTCGTGGTTCCTTCTAGTTTTTGATGGTTCCTTCTAGTTTTTGATGGTTCCTTCTAGTTTTTGATGGTTTCTTCTTGTTTTTGACGGTTTCCTTCCTGATTTTGATGGTTTCTTCTTGTATTTGATGGTTCCCATCGTTTGACAATTTCTTCTCGTTTTGATGGTTCCTTCCTTGACGCTTCCTTCCCATTTTTTATGGTTTTCTCCCATTTTTGATGGTTTCTTCTTGGTTTTGATGGTTCCTCCCGTTCTTCATGCTTTAGGTGGTTCCTTTCTTGATGGTTCCTTCCCATTTTTGATGGTTCCTTCCCATTTTTGATGCTTTCTTGCCATTTCAGATGGTGCCTTCCTTGATGGTTCCTTCTTGGTTTTGATGGTTCCTTCCTTGATGGTTCCATCTCATTTTGGATTGTTTCCTCCAGGTTTTCATGGTTTATTGTTTTTTTTTTCATGGTTCCCTCTTATTTTTGATGGGTTTTTTTGCCATTTTAGATGGTTCCTTCCTCGATAGTTCCTTCCTGTTTTTATGGTTTCCTCCCATTCTTCCATGGTTTCTTCTTGGTTTTGATGGTTCCTTCTAGTTTTTGATGGTTTCTTCTTCTTTTTGATGGTTTCCTTCCTGATTTTGATGGTTTCTTCTTGTATTTGATGGTTTCTGTCTTTGACGGTTACGTCTCGTTTTTGATGGTTTCTTGCCAGTTTGGATGGATGGTTTCTTCTTGTTTTTGATGGTTTCCTTCCTGATCTTGAAGGTTTCTTCTTGTTTTTGATGGTTCCCATCTTTGACGGTTCCTTTTCATTTTTGATGGTTTCTTGCCAGTTTGGATGGTTCCTTCCTTGACGGTTCCTTCCCATTTTTGATGGTTTTCTCCCATTTTTCATGGTTTCTTCTTGGTTTTGACGGTTTCCTTCCTGATTTTGATGGTTTCTTCTTGTATTTGATGGTTCCCGTCTTTGATGGCTCCATCTCATTTTTGATGGTTCCTTCCCATTTTCCATGGTTTTCTCCCATTTTTTGTGGTTTCTTCTTGGTTTTGATGGTTCCTCCCGTTCTTCATGCTTTAGGTGGTTCCTTTCTTGATGGTTTCCTCCCATTTTTCATGGTTTCTTCTTGCTTTTGACGGTTTCCTTCCTGGTTTTGTTGGTTTCTTCTTGTATTTGATGGTTCCCGTCTCTGATGGTTCCGTCTCGTTTTTGATGGTTCCTTCCTTGACGGTTCCTTCCCATTTTTGATGGTTTCCTCCCGTATTTCATGGTTCCTTCTAGTTTTTGATGGTTTCGTCTTAGTTTTGGTGGTTTCCTTCCTGATTCTGATGGTTTCTTCTTATATTTGATGGTTTCTGTCTTTGACGGTTCCGTCTCGTTTTTGATGGTTTCTTGCCAGTTTGATGGTTCCTTCCTTGACGGTTCCTTCCCGTTTTTGATGGTTTCCTCCTGCATTTCAAGGTTTCTTCTAGTTTTTCATGGTTCTTTCTAGTTTTTGATGGTTTCTTCCCATTTTTCATGGCTCCTTCTCATTTTTGATGCTTTCTTGCCATTGTAGATGGTGCCTTCCTTGATGGCTTCTTTCCAGATTGATGGTTCCTTCCTTGACGGTTCCTTCCCATTTTTGATGGTTTCCTCCCGTATTTCATGGTTCCTTCTAGTTTTTGATGGTTCCTTCTAGTTTTTGATGGTTTCTTCTTGGTTTTGGTGGTTTCTTCTTGTTTTTGATGGTTTCTTCTTGTTTTTGATGGTTTCCTTCCTGATTTTGATGGTTTCTTCTTGTTTTTGATGGTTCCCGTCTTTGACGGTTCCGTCTCGTTTTTGATGGTTTCTTGCCAGTTTGGATAGTTCCTTCCTTGACGGTTCCTTCCCATTTTTGACGGTTTCCTCCCATTCTTCATGGTTTCTTCTTGGTTTTGATGGTTCCTCCCGTTCTTCATGCTTTAGATGGTTCCTTTCTTGATGGTTTCCTCCCATTTTTCATGGTTTCTTCTTGGTTTTGATGGTTTCTTCGTGTTTTTGATGGTTTCCTTCCTGATTTTGATGTTTTTTCTTGTTTTTGATGGTTCCTGTCATTGACGGTTCCGTCTCGTTTTTGATGGTTTCTTGCCAGTTTGCATGGTTCCTTACTTGATGATTCCTTCCCATTTTGATGGTTTCCTCCTGTATTTCATGGTTTCTTTTTGTTTTTGATGGTTCCTTCTAAGTTTTGATGGTTTCTTCTTGTTTTTGATGGTTTCCTTCCTGATTTTGATGGTTTCTTCTTGTTTTTGATGGTTCCTTCTAAGTTTTGATGGTTTCTTCTTGTTTTTGATGGTTTCCTTCCTGATCTTGAAGGTTTCTTCTTGTTTTTGATGGTTCCCATCTTTGACGGTTCCTTTTCATTTTTGATGGTTTCTTGCCAGTTTGGATGGTTCCTTCCTTGACGGTTCCTTCGCATTTTTTATGGTTTCCTCCTATATTTCATGGCTTCTTCTTCTTTTTCATGGTTCCTTCTAGTTTTTGATGGTTTCTTGCCAGTTTGGATGGTTCCTTCCTTGACGGTTCCTTCGCATTTTTGATGGTTTCCTACCATATTTCATGGCTTCTTCTTGTTTTTGATGGTTCCTTCTAGTTTTTGATGGTTTCTTCCCATTTTTGATGGTTCCTTCTCATTTTTGATGCTTTCTTGCCATTTTAGATGGTTCCTTCCTTGATGACTTCTTCTTGGTTTTGGTGGTTTCTTCATGTATTTGATAGTTCCCATTTTTGACAGTTCCTTCTCGTTTTTGATGGTTTCCTCCCATTTCTGATACTTCCTCGCCATTTTTGATGGCTTTTTCTTGCTCTTCGTGGTGATGGTAGGAACCATCTTTTTGATGGTTCCTTCCTGTTTTTGATGGTTCCTTCTTTGTTTTGATGATTCCTTCCTGTTTTTGATGGTTCCTACCACTTTTTTTATGATTTCATGTGGTTTTGATGGTTTCTTTCTAGTTTTGATGGTTCCTTCCCATTTTGAACCATTTTTGACAGTTCCTTCCCTATTTTGATGTTTTCTGCCCATTTTTGATGGTTCCTTCCCATTTTTGAAGGTTTCTGCCTATTTTTGATGGTTTCCTTCCATTTGTGATGACTTCTTCTTGTTCTTGATGGTTCCCGTTTTTGATGGTTCCTTCTTGATTCCGATGATTCCATCTCAATTTTTATGGTGTCCTCCTGTTTTTGATAGTTCCCTCCCATTTTTGACGGTTTCTTCATATTTTCTGATGGTTTCCTCCATTTTTCGTGGTTACTTCCCATTTTAGATTATTTCCTCCTGTTTTTGATGGTTTCTTCATGTTTTCCACCCGATTTTGATGGTTCCTTCCCATTTCTGATGATTTCATTCCAGTTTTTGATAGTTCCTTCCTGTTTCTGATGGTTTCCTCCCTTTTTTGCCCATTTCTTTCCGTTTTTGATGGTTCCTTCTCATTTTTTATTATTTTATCCCATTTTTAATGTTTTCCTCCTGTTTCTGATGGTTTCTTCATGTTTTTGATGGTTTCCTCCTGTTTTTGATGGTTTCTTCCCATTTTTCCCAGCGGGTGCCGCCTTCGCGTGCTGGACGTGACGGGAGTTCCAGACGATCCAGCCGGCCGCGCTCCGGACGGGATGAGCGTCTGGTCCGGCACGGTGGCTTTGGCCAAGGCTTGCGTGGAGGTGTCCAAGCACCAGCGGGAATTCCAGAGGCGCGGAACCAAGCGGCACAAAGGCCGCTCCGGAGCCGCCACGGCCGCGGCCGCTCCGCAGCCCCCGGGCGTGGACGTCCACGCCGACCTGTTCGTCAACGGAACGTCCTACGGGATCCTGCGCGACGCGCTCCAGACCGGAGCCGCCGGCCCGCTGCGCCTCAAGTGCCGCGAGTTCCAAGCGGAAAAGCTCTCCCTGGCCGGAATCGTGAGCCTGCTGGAAACTCTGGATCCCTCCTGCGTGCGGAGGGTGGATCTGCGCTTCCGGAATTTGGGATTGACCGGGCTCTCGGTGATCCTGCCGCACCTCTCGCGCTTCCCGGAGCTGCGCAGCCTCAAGCTCCAGTACAGCAACGTGGACGTGCGGCGCCCGACGCCGGAATCGGCCATCGGAATCCGGTGCCTGGCCGGGCAGCTGGGAATGCTGCCCAGCCCAAGGGTTGGGGGGCTTGGGGGTCTTTTCCAGCCTGAGTGATCCCGTGGTCCCAGGATTTCATTATCCTGATGTCCCATGATTCTGTTATCTCAATAGTTCATGACTCAGTGATTTTATTGCCCCATCATTCCAGGATTCCAGAATTCCTTGGTTCCAGGATTCCCAAAGGTTGGTCTCGATGGTCTTGGAGGTCTTCTTCAATCTTAACGATCCCTTGATTCCGTGATTTCATTATCCCAATATTCCCATGTTCCCATGATTCTGTTATCCCAGTAGTTCATGACTCAGTCATTCCGTGATCCCATCATTCCATGATCCCAGGAGTCTCAAAAGCTGAACTTGACCATCTTGGAGGCGTTTCCCAACTCTCAGTGATCCCATAATTCCAGGATTTCATTATCCCAACATTCCCACAATCCCATCATCCCAATATCTTATGATTCAATGATTCCATCATCCCAAAAACTCAAGATCTCATAATTTCTTAACTTCAAGATTCCCAAAGGTTGGGCTTGACGGTCTTGAGGACCTTGTCCAACCTGAATGATCCACGGATTCCAGGATTTCTTTATCCCAATATTCCCATGATCCCGTGATTCCATTGTCCCAATAATTTACGACTCAATGATTCCATCATCCCATAATTTTATGTACCATAATTCCTTGTTCCATGATTCCCAAGTTTTGGGCTCGATGGTCTTGGAAATCTTTTCCAACCTTAACGATCCCACGTTCCCATGATCCCATTATCCCAATAGTCCGTGACTCCATGATTCCGTAACTCTGATTTTGTACCTCCATGATCCCATAATTCCTTGATTCCAGGATTCCCAAAGGTTGGACTTGATGATCTTGAAGTCTTTTCCTACTTCAACGGCTCCATGACCTCATAACTCCGTGATCCCATAATTTCATGACTCCCTGATCCCAGAATCCCAATATCCCGTGATTCCACAATTCCATAACTCCATGATCCCAAGACCCCATGACTCCACAATGCCACAATTCCCTGGCTCCATGATCCATAATTCCATGACTCTCAAAGGTACAACTTGATGTTCCTGGAGATCCTTCCCAACCTAAGTCATTCCGTAATTCCGTGATTCCACGGCCACACCACACCATCACCCCATAACCTCATGGATCCATAATTCCGTATCTCCATGATCCCATGATCCTCAAGTGTCAAAGTCAATGTTCTTGGAGACCTTTCCCAACCTGAGTTATTCCCTAATTCCATGACCCCATAATTCCAAAATCCCAGGATTTTCAGGGGTCACTATTTGATGTTCTTGGAGCTCGTTCCCAACCT